TTCCTATCCTTCGAGTTTTACCGGAGTGGGGCAACTTACAATCGAAATTACGAATTGGTAGGAAAAGGTTTGTATTTTTTGCTTCATGAACTATTTCAAAGCATGAAACATTTGGCCGTTTGCTTTCGCTCGAGACTCGTGATTATGCATTTACGCCAATAATTTATTTGATGTGGCAGTCCCCGCTTAAGCTGATGATTTACTTCTTCACAGACATCTCGATCAGATAACTGGTACTTATTTGTTGTCGATAGAATCAACAACAATCTATAATCTGAATCGATCGATCGACACGAAAAAAAAAATCAACCTCGTCCCCAGGGCGTCGAGCAGTACGCACCCAACACTACCTGCTCTCACCCTGGTAAGGGACAATTTGAATGTGGAAACACGTATGCAAATGAGGAATAGTCTGGTGCCTGCCTTTGCAAATATTGGGTAAAACAGAATCAATTCGTCGCGCTGTGGGTTACGGAAACACGACTGTTTTCGAAGTTAAAATGTTACAATCTTATCCCGCAAATATGCAGTATGACATTTCAAATTAATATGTGCAAATTGGAAAGGAAAGGAGTATATTTGAGATGTGGATGTTATAATTACATTGATCGTGAAAACTCATGATACAAGTTGGACAATCTTAGAAAACAAGTAAAATCGTTGGTGGTTAAAGGTACCTCTCTCAACGTGTTTTCACTTCATCTTCCTATTTTCAGATATCATCCATCGACAGCTAGGCCGCTTTATTTGTCAGCCCAGCAGAACATCTGATATTATAGTTTACTCATAAAAAAAGGAAAACTCGGACGGATCTAGGTTCCCAAGTTGGATTTCTTTTTGGGGAACTAAACTCTAGGTTGTCTTGAACCAAAGTTAAATTGTGTCATAGGTCATAAATAACATAAAAAAAACTTACTGTGAATTGCACATTTACGTGCATAGGGATGAGTTGGGCTTATTGCAACTCTTGGCTTTCTGTAAATGTTGACAAGCCTACATAGCTGGGAATCGGATTAAGATCATCTGGCATTCAAACTCGCTCACAAAAAAAAGGAATATTAAACATATCCTAGACAGAAAAAAAAATGTCTACTAAAGCAAGGCTTCCACCAACATCTGTTTAATTGTAATTTTGAATAATTGCACGAAATTCAAACTTGGAAAGGTCAACTACATGATTCACGATTAAAAAAGCATAACTTTCCAAGCGTGAAGGGAAGTGAAATACGACTATATACGGAAAGAAAAGAAAGAAAACACATTTATTTACCAATTTTTGATAACAATCTTGACGATGAATGATTACAAAAGCCACTAACTTATCCATATATGCTCATTTGAGTCAGCAACTGGCTGATAAGAGTGCAGTTTGTTTGAACACACAGATTATTTGAAATGAAATTTAGCAAATAGTACAATGACCGCACAGTGTATTATACTACATACCACACTTCCGCAAATTTATTTTCAGCTGAACAGAGCCGATACTAATAGCGTGACTACTAACATTACATGCGTGGCAAGTCAATTATGAAACTCATAATGACTTTTGGAGATCTCGGGGTTCTTTTTTTTTTGGGGGGGGGGGCAATAAAGGCATTTCAGCCATCAATTATTAATATTATAACTCTTTAAAGTGTTGTTTAGTATTTTGTCATTAATAGTCCAGTAATCTCTGAATTCCAAAGAGTGACAATTCACTCCATCTTCCAGTGAAGATTCACTCCCACAGTTGGAAACTAGGGACTAGACGTTTAAGGGTGAAATTCCTTCAATCGTAAAGATCAAGTTTTCACTCGAGCTTCGTCTGAAGTATTTCATTTTTTCAGACTTTTTCAATCAAACATAATAGTGATTTTCACTCTTAGACGTCTAGTCTCTAATTTCACTCTTTGCAATTTAGAGAGTAAGAATTGACATAATATAATAAATGCATAACCCTGACATTTTAGTTAACAATCACGTTTTTGCTCTAAGACCTTTTTTTAGGGCTGCCATGAAGACACACAAACAATTCAAAACATTTTGTCTTTGGGAAATATGATTTTAAGCTATTAGAAATGCGCCCGAAATATGACCATATATGACCATATTTTGAAAATGTGGACAATTTTATCCCCGCATGGCTTCTCCGAGGGAATTTTACCGCTACTTCCACAGAGGTTTCTCCATTTGGTTTCTGGTGTGGAAATATTTCTTTTATTGTATAGGGCAGGAAATATAGCCCGATTCAGGGAGATTTATGCAGAGGAACCTCGGACGGAAAAAAAAAAAACATGACGACGAATGAAAAAAAAAACATTTTAGCATCTGGAACTAAGATGTTACATTTTGTATATCCTACAATCTTTCGATGTAAAACTTGACGAAAAATTATCAAAGTCACCCTTTTCACTGATGTACAGTTAAAGTTTTAGCACAACACTGGGTTTTAATACACATCAGATGGTACACAGTCACAACAGAGGGATTGCTTTCTTCTTAAGGTTTTGGAATTTGTTGAATGGGGGGGGGGGGGGCTGGGGTGGCCTCATTCTGAGCAGGGAGCACTCAATACATATTACTTTAATTATAAAAAAAGTTATTTTGTGTCTCCCTCCCCAAATTCTGAGGGGTAGGGTGGGAAGCAAGTGTGTGTAGGGTTGGGTGTGAATAAAGGCCTCAGTGGGGATGGGAGTGACCCAATACCTATCTCCCCTGTTTGCGCACTAAAATGGTATTCGACAGAAAAAAAAATGTATTTAGTTTTTCGGTGCCTTTTACCCCAGGGCCATCTCTAAAATTGTGAACAGTTTTGGGAGCAGTAGCTGTTTCGTACTTTGATGATGACAATAATTATGGCAATGACGGTGACGACAATAACGTTCCTAAATAGGCTAAAATTATGTTTTCGTAATAATGTTAGACAGAAGGTTCATTAAGTTTGCGTCCATACCATTTTACATCCGTTCAAGTTGAAAGATGCAGGAATATTTGCTCAATTAATTAAAGGGTAGGATTTTGCTTAGGTGTCGGAAAACATGCCTTTCAATATATACTGTAAACGAGGTTATTGATTATCATATTTCTCAAGGGTTGATTTTGATTGAATTCATTGCCAATGAATACATTGCCACCACAATTCATCATCAATTTGGCTGCCAAATACATTAAACGGAGAGGAAAAACCTGTATAACATCTCTAAAGCCAGAAGAGACGTGATCGAGTGATTGCGGGTAACTAAAGTGAGTAGACCCACTATATGTTATTTATTTGAGTTTCCCAACAAAATGATTCAATTTAATATAAGCGTATACCTCGAGGATATATTGAGGTTCTAGTGTACAAGCTCTAAAGGTTTACATACAGCTAAATTTATAACGATTTACCCTATATCTGTTACCATCTTTCTTGATCACGTCTATATATTCTACCCGAATAAAGCAAATGCATTGCATCACTTGATAGCCAATATTTTATGAAGTCTGAAGAATGGATAATGATGAATGATTAATGGATTTTGCATGTTACAAGTCAGTACCTGTTGAAGTCACTGTTTTTTCGTAATTTCAAGTTGAATATCAGTAACAATTGTCTTCAAGGTGTGGGTTGACTAACGACAAAGTAACGTCTTAGTCAAGGCCCCATGGAATATATCCGTTGATCCGAGACTAGATCATTAATGTTTTCGAATAGTACGTGATTGTTTCACGAATTAATTGTGATAGACATGATGCGATTTACACTTGTTATATACCCAAAATGTTGAGGTCCTATTAAAGTTACTAAACTGCTTCAATAACTGGGATTTTCACCTGTTATTATCCGGAAAATTACGTCCTTTCATTTCCCTCATTCGATCAGAACGATATGTATTGCAGATCTCTGCAAACTACGGCAAATATGGCTACATATCGTGGATATCTTTGTTGCACATGTTTACAGCAATAGCAATTGAACGTTCTATAGTGCAAGCACAAAACAAATTTTAAAATATGCAAAGGTTTTTTTTTTCGCCTGTACATCCGCTTCTTTGTCTTATTTTCTCTAAACTGTTAATTATATATCGTGCCTTTACTGCTATAAAGTACCAACATGGTGCAAATATAGGCAAATTTCATTCCAATATTCTCTTTAACGAATTTCAAAACAGAAAAAAAACATCTTCTTGACAACGCATTATTCATATCACAAAAAAGGTATGATTTAAAATTACCTTCATTTTCAAAACCATTTACGACAACACTGAAAATAACTGAGTATGATGTTATAATTATTGGCTTATACGTTCTGCCATAATATTAAACATAGTAAGATATAAACTGTTTCATTGACAAGTGCCTGCAAAGCAGTAATGTATCTGTGTAACATAACCTTGATTATACAAACAGTTGTACTCTAATAACCTCCAAAGTCGTAACAAAGCTGTAAAAATTTCAGAAATTAATGACAGCTCCAGCTATATGTGATTAATGCAATAGTGCTTTAATAGAGTAGATTACCGCACGAATTAAAACACTGTGTTACTCACCATGGAGGCAATGATAAGATGTACAATACAATACATATTAATAATAAAAAAAATAACCTGAAGAAATAAAACCATTGTTTTTAAAATTCAAATATTTCATGAACACGCATTGTTCACCATGTTTAAAGGTATTTGCATATTCTCAAAAGTAACCTGCTGAATCACCATCAAAAGGCTTATTTTGGTTAAAGATCATATTGGCCTATATTGGTACCAAACACCCCGTTTAATTATTTCGTCTGGCCTGCTCTGATTGAGCAAAAATCAAGGAATGTTTAAGTACAGAGCGCTGCGGACGAAAGCGTGTTTCGTGATAAAAAGGTTTTCCCACTATTTTCGATATTCGCTCAGCTGACACTTCAAAAGGTATATGTCTTAATGTTCTACTTTGGATGATCACTATACATGAAAGAAATTAACGATCCCTTATAGCTGTTAAACCAGTGGCGCACCCAAGGGTGGGGGGCTGGGGGGGGGGGGGGGTTGAGCTGTGGTAAACCGATACCGATGTTTGTTCTTAATGTCAACGTTTACTGGGTTCCAGAAATGGAGACATCAGAGCTGAAAGTTTTGATGCTGGATGCTGAAGTAGGACCTGCTGATGTTGAAACCAGCTCCGTATCGTTGGACTTAGCTGGGCGTGCGATTGTCAAACGGCGACTGATACGGTTGAGGTACGGTGCAATGGCGGAACGAACCTCCTCGCGACGAACGCAGAACATGATGAAGACAACAACGCCCTTCCAAAAAAAAAGAGAACATTTAATCATGTCAGAGGTACATCTGCTATTTATAATTTGAAAAATCAAATCAGCTTCATGTGAACATACTTTTTTTCGAAGACTTTAGTAAACAGCTTGATATTTTTCCATTTACCTGCAAGGAGTTGGCCAGACAGAAGATAAGTTGGAAGGCAAACGTCGCTCCTTCGATGGCCAGGAATCCAAAACACCAGGTCACGCCCATTAGGGCCGAGATGGCTACGGCATTCTGGAGGCGTTTAGAGATCTGCTGGGAGTGAGAGGCTTCTCTGACCTTGAGCAGACTGCGCATGACCAAGATGAAGGTGATGATGTTGTGGATGAGGATCAGACCAATGGGAGCAAGGAGGCCCAGATAAAGCACAAGGCCAGGCTCAATGAAGCAACTGAAAGGATAAAACAAAATGATCATGATTCATTCAGACCCAGTTGTTTTACTTCAGAACACATCATCCTTAATCTAATATTCTGTGTGTGTTGAGAGTGGTTTAAAATATATTCCAAAATTTAGATAACGCCGAACTCTTACAAACATCGTATCCAAGATCGTGTTGATTTGCAGATGAACCTAAAAGCGTCCCTCTATTAAAACAAAGACAACAATATCATGTACTTACTAATGCTCGTTACCATAGTGATGAGACGCTGCAGCTAAAGTGATTGTCAAGACAATCAATGGTGAGCCTAAAAAGGGAAAACAAAAGGAGTATTCCAAAAATTCCAAACCATATCATACCTTTCAAATAATAATGATTTAAATAATTCTGGAAGGGTTTAAAAAGGCTACATTTTGCCAGAACAGGAACTCACCCCAAGCGATGAGGCAAGCCTTGAGCATGTAGTGAGGCGTGTCTTCTGGGAACACCTTCACCGTACTGACGTACATGTTCCTGGCTTCAACGGCCATCCACATCATAGTGGACAGAGTCAAGTAGTGGAGTAAAGCTGCCACGAACGCACAACCACCTGTGGTAGCCTTTGGGTATCAAAAAGCCATTTGAAGGTAAGTCATTTCATTTGCTGTTAGGGTCAGTTGGGGTGTTGGGGGTGTAGGAATGGTTAAAATATCTAGCAGTTTGAATGTCATCTTATTTCAAGAACTAACCTTGGCGGCGTCCACGCCGGCAAGGAACACCACGTACAACATGAACAGGGAGAAGCAGAAATGAATGAAGATCTGACGAGATTTGCCGCTTCGTAGCTTCCTGGAAACCAAATTAATTTGGACATTTGGACGTTAATTGAAGATTTTAAAAAAAATGTGGAGAGCTATGCCAGTAGGTGTTTATGATTGATTTTAATACTTTATAGTTAAAGATTGATATACTGTGTGATGTGAACACAAAACACCTCTACGAGGTTACGCGTACCGCCACAGTGATAGGCTTGCATTATCTAGACTTGCATTTTAAAAAAATATATGGCTTTTATGCATCACTGCATTCTTATCTCTAAGACCATCTCGAATCCAACTGCACAACGACAATAAGAGGTCTCACAAGCCCGCCTTACCAAGATGCTCCTAGATGAAAGGGACATAACCTGATGGAACACCCGCCTACTTAATTACCAGACGTAGCTCCATGTGACATTTAGTTGTCCGTGGCCTTTTTCACGGACACAAGACCTTACCAAAGCATTCCATTCAGAGTTGAGGACAGTACCTACTTATGGTTATACCATGACCTATCTTACCTGATAGCTAGGTATATAATCAACGTTATGGCCAGTGCTATGATTGATAATGCACAGCCAACCTGGCTGATGATATCAAGCGCTTTCTTTGCAGGAGCGTCAATTAAACCATCAGGTGCCTGGCCCTTCACATCCTTAGGAAAAAGGAAAACAGTTTTTAAAGATCAATTTTAGACCAAGAGTGGCTAACATGACAAGAGTAGCTAGCTGAATCTTTCAACAACGAAACAGTTTTCAAATTCTCAAAGTTTGAAACGTAGTTTGATAGATGGGATGACTATGATTTTTTTCATGGAAAGATTCTTCAAAGATTATCATGAAGGCGACGATTCTTTCTTCTTATGATACATACCACGAGGATGGCAAAGTTTGTTGCGTGGTCGCAGTTACAGGAGACTTGCTCATTGTGCAGTTGTGTACGCGCGCAGCCAGCTGGTGACCAATCACCGACTCCATCTTCAAGTTCAAAGTCCCAGGACACGCACTGGATCGTCTCTAACTCTTCACTCGTGGTATGATCAGGTGCCTGTTTTAGAAATCAAACTAATGATTGGATTGTATCTGTTATGAGATATGTTAAAGTTATACAAATATCAAAGTTTGATTGATGTATTCCTATCACATGACATGAACGACGTTTGGGGACATTAATATTGTTGGGACGTTAATAATTTACACTGCAAACAATTTCCTACTTAGACACGTATTAACTTGCCTTGAATTTGATCACGACTGGCTCAGTAAGGTTGACAAGTTCAGTATTCTCCACAGTCAGTGAGACGACAGATCCAGCGACCTTACGAGTCGAGTTTTTCTCCCCTCGATTCTCTCTGATTGAAGTGGACTGGAACAACGTATCGTCAGCGTAGATCAGAAAACTGGCCTGCAGTTTTGCAGAGCTGTCACCTACATTCAGATTAAATAAGCAAACGTAATTCAGTTAAAGTGATTATGGTATTCAGCAATACCAATTAAATAATGTGCTGTAAAGTAGTAAATGTACATTTTGGGAAACAGCTAGTTTTCTCTTCAGCTGAATAACGTCCGTGTCATGGTGTCAGATCTTCTTTCAAACCTGCTTCCCCAAACAAAGAATTCAACTTCCCTTCAAGAGAATCTATACTCCTCAGAAAAAACAATCAAAAGCATTGGCCCTAACTGAAGTTACTTACTGTCAGATGATTGGATCAAGTCAATGATGTTCCTTGGTAATTGAACCGATGCCAACACATCGATACTCAAAGGGATGTTGCTGCTATCCATGAACGTCTGGACTTCAGTACCAACAAGTGAGCCCTCTTGTGGTGACCCTTGTCCAGGATGTCGTACAGATACAAAGCTGAGTCCATTTTGAGCCAGTGTTGGATCCAGACTGACTGCCTCGACGTGGATGGTGTCCTGACGTATACTGAAATTACCTTCTTGTCTCAGAGAAAGGGAAACCTGACTCTCTAAGGACTGGATAATGGCCGAGGAGCTACTACCATTGAAATCGGGAGCTTGGGAGTCAGGAGTTTCCCCACCACTCATGATGACATTGTTCACAGTCTCCAACACCAACTTGGTAACCTTTACATGGACAACAACACGAATGCATTACCTTTGAGCTGTTTGCCTTTTGGTTCTTTCTCAGAACTATTTTTTTATGTGGTGGGCCCTAATTTTTGTGTTCTGGTTCAATTTAATTATCCAATCTCTTTTCAAAGATGATTTGTACTCTGACTTCTAATTTATATCGGAAAACTGAGAAACGGGAGTTTTCCCCAACACTCATGATGACATTGCTTACAGTCTCCAACACCAATTCAGTAACCTTTACAATGACATCACTACGAATGCATTACATTTGAGCTCGTTGCTTATTTTTGGTTCTTTCTCAGAACAATTTTTATGTGGTGGGCCCTAATGGTTGCGTTCTGGTTTGGTTCAATTATTTAATCTCTTGTCAAAGATGATTTGTACTCTGACTTCTAATTCATATCGGAAAACTGAGAGTCAGGAGTTTCCTGAGCATTCGTGGTAATATGGCCAACAGTCCCCGGTACATACTCCAAGATTTAGATGATTCATTAATTTTTAGCTAAATAATAAGAAGAGAGGAAAACAGTAAATCCCAATACGTAGCCTATTAGGTTGACGTTATTCGTAAATCGGGCTCTTTTCCCAACACTTGCTCGAAGTAATTTGTAATTATCACTATTACACACCTCCGTGTCGCCAGATCCTGCCATGACAATGTTTGCAAGAATGTTGGACACCAGCTCCACATCTTTTGCACCCTCTTGCGACTCTGACGTCTGACTGGCCAGAAATTCGGCCACTTCAACCACGTTTCCTGTACTTACCTCAACCTGTAACCAAAAGATGGTAACTGGATCTTATATGTATATATTTACTTAGAAGGACACATGTTTCAAGCAACAGATCTGCTTTGAAATACGTATAGGTTTACCTCTTAGAAATTAAAAACGAATGATTAGGCCTAAACAAATTCTCCGGTTTCTGGTATGCGCGCGCGTCGCCGTAGCCATGTGCGTCGGCAATATGAAAAAAAGTGTTTTTTGTTTCAATGTAAGATGATGTCTCAAAACCGCCGAACTCACTGGTTTGACTGGAATCCTGCTGCCGCTCAATTTTAACGTGTTTTTAGATGGGGTTACGATCGAGTATGATCTTTATGTGGCCTCTCTGGACTCCCATATATTTTGCATTAAATTTAGTCTGGCACCATTTGCAGTCATCAGCCGACATTTGAAGAAAAAAAAACAAAGGAAAAAAACAAGCCGCGTAGCCGCACCACTTTTGGGGCAAGCTCGATACCAGAAACCGGAGACTTTTTTTTTGGCCTTAAAAGTTGTGACTGGATTTTCCAGACTATAGCTGTTTTTCGAAATTATTGATCCTATATTTAAAAACCTTTGACCGATTTTGTTTCCAATTTAAACACAACAACACCTGTACGACGTCCGCAAAGGTAACATCGTTCCTATTTTCACCACAGCTACGAGGCTCGTTCTCCTCCCATTTGAAATACAAAGGAGGCTCTACAACTGAACAGTTCCTCACAGCTCGAGGTTCACCGGCTGATGAGAGAAATTATTTGTAGAAATACTCGTTTTAGGAAGTTGGCCTACATAAGGGTTGAAATGCCAATAACTATGATGGATTATATTGTTGAAATAGAAAAATGAAGAGCCTTTGCAGGGTGGCGTAGTGTTCTTACCATTTATGGTATCAAGTGGACATCTCTCCAATGACTCTGCAGTTGATCCTGCTAACGTAACAGGCCATGTCAAATCTGCGTAGCTTTCAGCTTCACACGGACCTGAAAACATGGAAAGATAACTTCGGCACGTTATTATTGTGGCGCTGGAACCGGGGCTCCCCTGAACTGGGGTCGCCCTGGCCTCCTGACTTATACCTTTGGTAAGCCTTGACGAGCGGCGATGTAGGTGACCTAGGGAATGCGTACGTTCGGAAGAGACACGGACTGACAGACTGAACAGACGATTAAGGAGCATATACTGACACCTTTATTTATCAGACAACAATGACAATCAAGTTCTCTAAATTCTCCACTAGGTTCAATTTGGAATGTAAGAGTCAATCAACAATTAGTACTGAAACGGCACCTGTCTTAAGGGCTGACTATTCGCAGCGCTATCCCCATGTTCTATTGCGACTTAACTATCGGGCAACCCCAAGTTACCGGCGGCAGGATATGAGGACTTCCGAGGGCCGAGTGGATACAGTACAGCCCACGAGGTAGCAACACACGGACCAAGCGTCGATCCCCTGTGTGCCTCCGGTGTGTCGTCAGCACGTCCGTGCTGCAACACGACAACGCACACACGTCAGTTCTCCACGAGACGCCGCAATCCACGTCCGTTCTCAACGACACGCGGTTATCAACTCATGCACATGAACGCGCGAACGGTCAAGTACGCGCGCGGGTTTGTTCACGGGCTGAATCCACTGATCTCTATATAAAGACTGGATAGCTAATAAAGAGCCGCACAATGTACGAATTTGACGCCATATTGGTGAGACCGGCTGGTGATCTACAAAGGACAAGTTGTCGTTTGTATAGACAGCATGATTTCTTTTGTAACGTCGCGGTTCACTTGACTTATATTTTGACCACCATCACTGACCAAGGTTAACTACAATTTTTCTAACGTCGTGGTTACTAAAATGCCGCAAATATAACTTTTTCGGCGTTTTGAAATAATAATGCAAAGTCTACTGTGTGAATGTTGTATGCATATCCGCTATCCAGTCTTTATATAGAGATCAGTGGCTGAATCACGCTCTAAATGTCTTTTACACACATTGTGTGCGCGTGGCGTATTCACTTCGGTACTTCATAGAGCGCCCTGTCTTCGAAATACGTGCGCAATACGCTCTGAATAGCCCGTTAACCAACCATGGGTACGATTTTGCTGAGCCATGTTGTTCCCCATCATGCCTTGCGGGATCTTAACCCCTGGAATTGTGTAATTTAAATGTGTCAAAATATGGCTTATTACAATTAGGCTGCAGTTCATCCGTTTTACGTGCCGACGCCATCTTTAAAATGTTAAAAGTTGTGATTTTGAAGAATAAATCCTTTCAAACATAACGTTCTGACGTTGCGTTATTTAGCAAAGATTTGTATTAAATGTACGTATACCACCTTATCGCACGCAATGGCCGTCCGTGTTTGGGCGGTCTGTTCTTGACGCGAGTATTTTTATTGTTCTCGCGCTCGAACGGCGGGAACATGACCCACGAACACTGCACTCGAAACAGGATCTCGCACCACCTATCCGTCGAGGTTTGCAAGAATGTACCCGTGTCAAGAACAAGACTCGCCCGATCTCGGCCAACAAAACATGAATCGGTTCTTAAAACAATATTCAAAATATAGGTTTTCCCGGCCAATTTCCTGAAATGTTCATTCACTTCTGAAAATCGGTCGTTCGTTTTCGTCTGAATTTGAGAATCGCTCTGAACACGCGTTTCATTTTCGCTACCAGAGCATTCGATTCCATTTCAGTTCAATCAATTAAGTGGTTGAGCAGCACCTTTCGTTTATGGTCATTCAGATTTGTTTACAAGACTTCCTTTTCGCTTTTAGAGGGCGATTTCAAACACTGGTCATTCTATTTCACTTTTAGTTTAATTTTATGTGATGCAATGTGCTATTTTGAATGAGAAAAAACGTACTTTTGATTGCACATTTTACAAAATTGTATGCCAGAACTCTGCGTGAAAGGTATGCTTTCGTAGATGAATGCACAGGTAACGGAATTGGCCGTCTGTTTCTCAAAACCGAATGCACGGACAATAAAAACGATTGAACTTTTCGTTGAATTGAAATGGGATTAAAGACGTGCAATCAAATTCAGACGAAAAAGAATAACCATTTTTTCAGAAGTGAATTAACATTTTAGGAAATTGGCCGGGAAAACCTATAATAAAAACGGTAAGACGGTTTCAGCTTAAACAAAATAATTGCAGTTGTAATGCGGCCATCCAAAACTTCCAAAAGGGGGAACATAAATTCATTTTCTCTTTAAAACAATGTTGCAAACAGAGAGTGGGTCCATCAATTTGATGAGACTTTTGACATATTACATAACAATTATGTTATCGGCCTGTGACGTATACAGATGATCATAAAGCTCGCTTGGTCAGTTAAAAATAAACGAGTAATGCTTATTCAGTACAGATTGAACAAACTTATGCATCTGTGGGCAACAACTGTGCAGTTTTGAATTGCCCCCCTCCCCACAAAAAAAATGAAATAAAATTATATAGGTTTTCTTGGCTATGTTAAAACATTTTTCGTTCGAATTCACCGATTCTTATATTCAATTTCGCCCAGCAACATCGATTTAGTGCATTTTTAATGTTTAATTCATCTTTTGCCAGACAATTTCAAATTTAGTCCAAAAAAATAAAAACAATGAACACACGTTTTCGACACGGCGTATTCGATTCGTCTAGTCTACGCCGAATCGTGTTATTTCGAAATCAAATTCGTCTAATTGTTTTATATCAGACGATTTTGATCTCTGAATGCTGCCATTCGGCAACAGCTTAGACGGATTTGACCAGTAATGACGAATATTCTCGACCCAGTGCCTAAAAAGGTTTACCAAACTTTGAAATTGAATGGTAAATGACTAAATTGTTTTTTTTTTTAAAGCATGTGACATTTTTCTCGGACAAAATTGAATGTTGGAATTAGTGAATCTGAATGAAAAATGTTTTAAAATAGCCGGGAAAACCTATATTTTATTTGTATTTCTTTTGGTGATACTTTAGCCACACTGTGCCTGGAATATAAAACAAAATACCAGCACCGTTTGTAGTTATTGCAATCGCGTGCTATGCACGTCACGTCACGAACGAAGGTTTTTTTTTTTTCAAAACTGCAGGATGCCTGTACGATAGGGATTATGGTAGCCTCGTTTTTTCGCCCCCAAAAAACTGTATCTTTGGTTGTAACGGGACGAAAGAGGTATGTACATTTAATACAAATCATTGCTTAATAACGCGACGTCGAAACCTTATGTTTGAAAGGATTAATTCTTCAAAAAAAAACAACTTTCAACATTTTAAACATGGCGGCGCGCATTAAACATTGACTGCAGTCCTAATCTATTTGACACATTTCAATAAGACAAATCCAGGAGTTAAGATCGCGCAAGGCATGATGGGAAATAACATGGCGCAGCAAGATTATACCTATGGAAACGAGCCTGGTAAAAAGCTCATCGAATGTTCGGTTGATGATCAAATATTTGGTATATTTGGCACAGCCCTATGAATCGTTTAGGGTTTTTTTTTGAACAACTTACCCATCTCGCAGTTAGTACCAATGTATCCGGGTTGGCAGGCACACGTGTACAAATTGATGAGATTGTTACAGGCTGCACCGAAGCGACAGGGCGAGCTGGCACACTCATTGATGTCTGCAAGAAAGAAGAAAATGGAACTGTGACGTAAAGTCGATTGGAAACGGGACGAGTGGAGATGACTGGAGACGAGACTAGAACATCCAGGCAGTGCCCCAAGCACCGTCGACATCAGAATTTTCAATAATCGATATATCGGAAATCCAATATCGAGAACATTCGATACATCGATTATTCCATGTAAAAGTTAAAGACCATACAAATTTCACTTTGATAAAATATGCTCAAACTTTTTAAAACAAACTTCAGCACTGAGAGTTTGTCCAGAACAGGTTTTATAAAGAACATAGCTTAACATGGGAGCACAATAAGACACTGCTTGGCATTTCGCGATGTTTCTATTTTGAATCACAAGCACACGATGACGTCGAGTTTTAATTCATTATACAGCAAAAGGTAAACATGAAACACAAACAGGATATTCATTTCGACGATAATCTGACGCAATTTTTGATATGATTCCTCTCTATCGGAAATATCGATATTTCGAAATGATCAAAAAATTGCTATCAGGATATCGATATCAACATAATCTTGAATAATCGAGTTATATCAATATATCGACGGTGCTTAGCCCGGTATCCAGTGGACACTGTGCATGAACACCCACTCCACACTGGGATGGAGAGGCAGCATTGGACAAACTCTTGGCCAAGTGTACGCCAAATCATCGACATGAACCAGCCTATAAATGAACTGTTTATAAATGAAGCTTATGTAAAGTTTCTTTAGACAAGCACGCCCTCCTGTACAGGGTGAGCAAAAAAAAAAAAAAAAAAAAAACAACAACAACATCTCAAATGGCATTCATTTTGCTTAATGCATTGTGGGAGATGGTGGAGCCGATCAATGGAACCGACTGTTGAGTGTGGCCCATTCAAGACGCTATTGACGGCATTTTGTGGCGTCACATTTTGAGCGAAGTACAATCCATGCCCGTGCAGGAACTGACTTGCCCACTGTACAACAACTGAATTGGACATAACGGGCGTATTCGCAACCCGTTCTCGAGTGACCCGCGAACAGTGTTCTTGGGTTCTAGATGGCAGCCGCCATGTTAAAACCCAGAATGAAAACGAAGGGACAATTAACCCTCCTATGAAAACATGCACTTTGAGCCATGTTATTACTCGGGTCAATATTGGTCAAGACCCCCATTGGTTTGTTAACAGTATGCCAGGAGGTGAGGAAGGAAATTTGACCTTTGAAATTTGATTTGTGACCTCTTAGATAGTGGGAGGGTTAATTGAATTAATACGAAAAAAATAAAAACAAATCCCGAAAAAGCTATTAAAATTGGCAAAGACAAGGCTGACAAGCCCACTCCATACCGCGTGCAATTTTATTTTGTATCATAACTGCTCCTGTATTGAACCAGTGCTTTCACTTTTATGCACAAAAGATAACGCAAGTTCCGGTACGCGCCTAGTTAGTCCGCCATCTTTGTTCTTGACGATCCTCATCTACTCCCCATTAAGTGGGGAGTGAAAATTTTGAATGCGAGCACCGTTCGCGTGTGGGTTCTTATCATTCGGAACCCCATCCTCGTTTTCATTCAACACGAGAACGGGGTTTCAAATACGCCCATTAGTTTAGACTGCAATCACGAAATCATTGAAATTCTATTCATGGGGGTTGAAACGATAACACTTTACTTTCTTTGTACAATATGACAAACACCACTGCGAAATGTTGGCAGTTTGCAATACAAAAGAGGTAATGCAAGACACATAATGGAGCCAGTCGCTAATGTTAATCGCATCAAACCTGGTCACTGATAAAAGCCCTCGCCTTCACTCCATCGCAGTATTGTCCCCTTATTTCCGACGACATATTTTGATACAGTGATGCATCGTTGAATCAATTGCCACCTATCTACACAGCGCAACAACGATCGCGGTGCGTTACCCACCTGTTTCGCAGCCTGTCCCTTCATAGCCTGCTGCGCAGACACATTGGTATGCATTCTGCAGGTCAATACACGTGGCTCCGTTCAGGCATGGATTGGATTCACATTGATTTCCATCTGAGGAGAACAAAGGAGGGAATATAGTTATTTATATTTTCCCTTACAAACAGGCTCGCAACTGGGAGTAACCAAAAAAAGAAGAGAAACTTCCAAGCTCCACTATAGTGTTTTCAATTTGCAATGGCATTAAAGGGGATATACAGCATAAAACTACCAAGTTTTTACGCAATACCTTACTAGGATGTTGGTAAATGACAGTCTAAAGCATCCTGTAAAATTATGGCACCTGGTGTGAAGCCATTTTCAAGAAAATGGTATTTGTGTATACATTTCCAACGGTGGTCAGCCGACCAATGTTGGAAAAAAAACTACCTTTTTTCGAAATACTGCTCAAATTTACCATTTTTGTTCAGTCCAAATTTGTTTGCTGTTGGTTACAGGCCAGCTAGACTGGTTCCCTCACCTTACAATTTTCCGGCATCTATACATTGATCCTTTTCATCTTTAGTGGAGTCAGGGAACTAGACTACTGGAACATTTTCGTTTTTCCTGGTTTTTCCAGCATTTTCAAACACAAAACTTCAAACATGTCAGTGTAACAATATTTGATCTATTATACTAACCCCTAAAATAGTTCATTTCTGAAAATTACAGCAAAAGCCAATGATGTACATTCTCTTTAATGCAAAATGAAAAAAAAGAGGAAAAAACAAGGAAATCAGCTGATCCAACGAAACTTGCTTGCATACAGGTAGAACATTTTTTTCCCAGGTTTAAGCCAAACCGAAGTTGGAACCATCCCAAAATGGAATCATCCCATATTGGATTTTAACCCAGATTGGAGTCATCCAAACCTTGGCACAATAACTTTACTCTAAGTCCATACTTGGGCTGGATCCAATGGGGCAATTGCACATGTCAATTCAAAAGAATCAATTGGGAATACTTTCGTTCAAAGGTCACCAAGTCTGCCAAGTGCCAACTTTGAGTAAGAGCTGAGAGTGAGAATTTGGCGATGGAGCATTGCGAGCGCAAAGCCCTACTGGCGTGGGGTTCATGGCCCGCTAAGGGCCCCTAAAATTGTTGAATTTAAGATGCTCTGTAGTGCTATCTGAGGTTATTTCAGACCACGTTAGTCTAGTTTCTTTTAGCAAAAGATCATCATTCCAACATCATTTTCGAGTTTGGAGTCAATCAGAACACAAAACTTGTAAGTTTCTTGATTAGTTTGTTTTTATATATATATTTTTATCATTATTGTTATGTTTTTTAGCGTGAGAAATCTGGTGTGGGTGTGAGAGTGTGAGAATAACCTGAAATACGTGAGTCTCACGCTCAATGCGAGAGAGTTGGCAGCACTGGGTCACATACTTGTAGTCAGGGAGACAGCCAAAAAGAAACCCCACATTTATAATCACACAACACTTCTTTTCCCAACCAATTCATACTTTTCCAAACCCAAATTCATAATTTGTAATTTCCTCAAATAGTAATAAATATATAACTAAAGTAGATTCAAAGTCTGTATCATGAGAAGATCTCTTTTATTGTTTTGAAATGAGAAAGAGGGTCACAGTGCAAACATTTAGATTATACGAATGTCAAGTTATTGTTTAAGTTTTTTTTTACCCTATGAGAATTAGGTTAATGTAAAAACTTGTTTATGCTTGGATCAAAGTTGTGATATCACATCAAGCATTCACGTTGTGAATTTACACAAGTTGAATACTGTGTTCATAGTGTATTGAAAATTGCCCTGTATGTTCTGGGACATCGACTTTGAATTCGCCTTTGCAATTGTATTTGTGTGTTTAAGTATTCGAACCAGCCTGAACTCCTCAAGCCCAGAATCAACTGCCTAAATGAAGTTTCAAAACAAGTTAGATGTCCGGCACGGGTGACCATTTTGATCCCATCAGCCTACTAAAGTTCAGCCACCGTGTACTAATACAGTCGTTTTCCTAGTTCCAGATTTTTCCTAGTTCTGGGTAGCTTCAAATAAAAACCTATACCTCTTTTGGATTATAATCTCCAATAATAATTTTTTTCTGACGAAGTGCATTTTGAAAAGGACAATGTAAGCTCCTTGATACACAGAGATCTTTCCGAAAAAATCTTTAGAAGACTGAGGAATTTTTGCCAGATTTCCGACTCGCACTTCGATATGTTTGGACGGTTTGTAGAAAATCGTGGGAGCTGCGAATCGACGATAAATTTTCTCCTCAGTACATCACTTGTACCGTGTCATTTGAACTCTTCCATCGAATGCTTATTGAGTCAAAATATGTTGTAGAGTCTCTAATTTTTGAAAATTTGCCAACGAATGACTGTATGCTTTCGCCTAGTTCGGGATAGCGCATGCACTTATGACCCAACTACACGGGCGTTAATCTAATTTGTGTGACGTAGATCTGTTCTGAGTCAAAGATTTTCGGTCCGTGCGTGAGTTTTCGGTCCGTGCGTGAGTTCTAGCCGTTGCGCTGCCGACAAAAGTTTCAAAATCATTTACGTTTCTTCTCTTTCTAAACTTTGCTTTAATTCTCTTGAATGAACTATTTTTGGAAAATGAAATAATACTTTATCAGAAAATATGCTTGATTCGGTTGGTTCTGGCTGAAAAAAAATGATTTTTTTCGCGTGACTTTTTTTTTTCGCGCGAAGCAGTTTTTGATCGATTCGGAACTGATTGAACCGATCCGGAACTAGGAAAAGTGACATCGGTATCTCAATCACTCAAGGTAAACTCTTTAACCAATGCCACTTGAATTCGTGGAGTAGTTGAGCCAAAAGCAGCCTGATTGATATTTGCTATCCGAAACTAGGAAAAAAACTGTATTACTTATGCTGTGCTTTATACACAAGTCTCAACCCGCCTCACAATTATTACCCCTGTTCATCAGGCCAATTAAACCAGTTTTCTGAGGCAGCTCAAGATCAGTCCAATCGGGTTTGCGCCCTTTTAACAGGTGCCCATCTATACTCCCAGGTAGAGAGAGTCAATTGTAGTCAAGTGTCTTGCCCAAGAACACAAGCACCATGCTCCACAAACCTTCACGCGTGAGTCAGACACTATAACCACCGAGTAATAGCCACCAACTTACCGCTCGCCCAAGAAATGGACCATCCTCCAAGTTGGACGTTCCTGTCGGTGGTGAAGAAGAAGGAGATCTGATCTGTCATGGCCACGATATCGTCGGGGACCCCTCCCGTATTCGTGGTGTAATTCCCCTGATAGGACATGAAGATCGTGCCAGTAGTTGATGGTCCGATGTAGACGTCCAAAACGTCTTTTATGAGCTCAGTATTGAAAGCATCGAAGGTCAGGGTGATCATGCGAGCATTGGGGATTTTGATGTAGTAGTAGCAGATCCGGTTGTTGGGGTAGGTGGCCGGGTAATTTGGGGATGTGATGGTGCCTGATGACATGCCAAAATGGCTGGTACCACAATTTCCAACTGAAATAAAAAAAATATCACTTTTGAATCAATGTAACCTGAGGTTTGGTTTGTATTTTCTGCATGCAATGCCATGCCATGTGGTAGTTCAGATATAATACTCAGGCACTTAGGTACACCTAAGTTGTCAAGGACATATGTTGTCAAGGACATCAGTTGGCAAATCTAACCTATGACCTTACAACATCACTAAATCACACCGGTGAGTTCAACTTAAATTAAAAGAAAAAAAAGAAGAAAACAAAAAACACTTCCCACTTTCGATACATCAATCTTAGAAGATGTAGTGTTTCAATACTTCAGGTACATGTATATTGTATAGAAATTCTGGGTCCAAACAATCACACATAGAAAAGACAACTGCACTGAAATGCAAGACTCCAGAACACCCCCCCCCCCTTTTTTTGAAGGGAGGAGGGGGATGGAATGAATTCCGGAGGTTTAGTACAAAACTAATATGAACCTACGCTAAGTATTTTATATTTGAATGTTTACATACTACTGACGCACAATGACTGAATTTATGTAGGAAAGTTGAAGGACTAACCAATTTTGTTATTGTTTACTTGATAGGTTTCAGTACCCAGCGATTTGTTGGGTCTATGTATGCGTACTCAGTCTGTACAGTGATGACACAAAAATGGGTCTGTACACTTTTTGCTGCCAGACGGGGGTCCGTGCAGTCTGCGGGGCCAGACATTTTTTTTGGATTGGTGTATTAACCTTTTAGTCCGACTAATGAATGGTCCTAGCATCAAGGGCGGATCCAGAGCTCAATTTTCGTAAGGGCCACGAGGGCTCAAGTATTTTTTTTCTTTCAAAAACGGGAAGGGGATTAAGTGTATAATATTGTGCGCTTTTTCCATATTGTAATACACAAACTAAACGGTATTTGTAGCTGATGGCTTGCGAGGGAGATACGCAACGTTTTCATTCATTTCCTGCAAATTTAAGACTAAAATGATCTCTTCGCTCCTCCGATAAAAAAAAAAATTGACGGAGTGGGGCATGGCCGCGTTGCCGCCCCCGGGTCCGCCAATTCTGGCACGTTGTAAGGAATTAATGAACAAAAAGTTTGATTGCTGTGGCATGAAATTCAAACCAATGAGTAACTTGATTTTTTTTTATTATTTGAGTCCAAGTACAAGTGTGCATACATTGTAGACCTAGCCGAGACATCATGACGTCACTCTCTGTTTACACACGTGCGATTTCCTAGAGGAGCTTGGTGGCTCGCCTCCCCACCTGGCTCCCAGAGGAAAGCAAACATGTAAAGAAAGCATGACGTCGTTATGTCTTTGGGCTATGAATGTCAGAAAATCCTGAATGATATCGGACATACAAGCACTGTCAGTGCAATCCTGGCCCTCAAATCCAGATGGGCACATGCATATGTAGTTGTTATTGGACAGGTAGCATACACCGCCATTCTGGCATGGACTTGTGGCGCAAGCTGCAGATGAAAAGAACAAAACAAGAAAGACAATACAAATCATTACTAGAGGTACATTGTGCTCCGAGAGCACGAACCTTAGTCGTCGATATCCGACGAAGGTCTATGAAAAAAGGCAGTAAAATTGTGCAAATTTTATGAAATCCGCATTCAACATCAAATCACAGCAAGAGTGCTGGTTATGGCCTCCGTACTTTTTAATCCACGGCAGAGTATCAGGCCGAATACGCGGCTAGCTTTACGCAGGTGGCACTGTCGCTATAACAAATCGAAGGACATCAGACACCACTTCAGCGGTTGTGTACAAAGTCTACGGAGAGTGCGGCATTGTGCACTCAATTTTGGCGTCAATATTTGCGACTTGGGTCCATGTCGTGAATATTGGCGTCAATATTGGCGTCAATATTTGCGACTTGGATCCATGTCGTGAATATTGGCGTCAATATTGGCGCAAATATTAGCGACATGGAGGCCACGTCGTGAATATTGGCGTCAATATTGACGTATATATATATGTGCGATGTCCCTTTAAAGCCACCATAATTTTCAGATGTCCCTGAACTTTTTTGTATTGTTTTTTTTTTAGAGAATTCCAGGGCCAGGCTTAATGGGACTTCAATTGCCACCTTAGGCTGCAACACTTCGAGAATAAAAAGAAAATGGGTAAAAAGAGGGCAAATCTGACAACAAACGAGTAATTCATTATCCATACTCTCCTCGCGTTGTATGACTTTGGTTGATATTGTTTCATTTAAATTCCCATAACATCGTGTAACAGGCTGTCAAAAAGTACTATCAAAGACTTAACAACCTTTCATATTAAACCTACATAATCATCAAAAGGCAAGTTCTTGAAAGCTTAAAGTACGTACCAAACTTCATTCTGGTTTTCAAATTTCTCAGCCAAAAATAAAAAAATAAATACAAAATTTAATAAAATTAAAATATATTTATATATATATATATATATATAAATATATATATATATATATATATCAATTTCAACTACGTTTTACGCCTTTATATTCTACCAGCTACACTAGACCAAATTACCAATCTAACTATGATGTTCACCTTGCCGGTCTAGAGTTCATACGAAAGAAGAAGTAAAGTCTTTCTTACTTCTCTATTTAATTAAATTGAGTTTTAAACGCGGTTTACGTTTTCATGAAAATAAATCCCCCCTAAAACTTTTGTTTGTGTTGATTCGCTTAGCCAAAAGGCGAAAGTGAGAAGCATCTTTTAAAGATTATGTTCTATTTAGTCCAAAACTATTAGTATAGGCTGTTATGTACTTTTGCAATTTTTGTTGCTACGATGCTCTGTGGTGCTATCTGAAGTTATTTCTGACCACGTTAGTCTATTTTCTTTTAGCAAAAGATCATCATTCAAACATCATTTTCGAGTTTGGAGTCAATCAGAACACATAACTTGTAAGTTTCTTGATTACTTTGTTTTTATATTTTTTTTATTTTTATTATTGTTGTGTTTTTTAGCGTGAGAAATCTCGTGTGGGTGTGAGAGTGTGAGAATAACCTGAAATACGTGAGTCTCACGCTCAATGCGAGAGAGCTGGCAGCACTGGGTCACATACTTGTAGTCAGGGAGACAGCCAGGGAGACAGCCAAAAAGAAACCCCACATTTATAATCACACAACACTTCTTTTCCCAACCTATTCATACATTCCAAACCCAAATTCATACTTTGTAATTTCTTCAAATAGAAATAAATTTATGACTAAATTAGATTCAAAGTCTGTATCATGAGAAGATCTATTTTATTGTTTTGAAATGAGAACGAGGATCATAGTGCAAAAATTAAGATTATACGAATGTCAAGTTATTGTTTAAGTTTTTTTCACCCTAGGAGAATTAGGTTAATGTAAAAACTTGTTTACGCTTGGATCGAAGTTGTGATATCACATTAAGCATTCACGTTGTGAATTCACAAAAGTTGTATACTGTGTTCATAGTGTATTGAAAATTGCCCTGTATCTTCTGGGACATCGACTTTGAATTCGCCTTTGCAATTGTGTTTGTGTGTTTAAGTATTCGAACCAGCCTGAACTCCTCAAGCCCAGAATCAACTGCCTAAATGAAGTTTCAAAACAAGTTAGATGTCCGGCACGGGTGACCATTTTGATCCCATCAGCCTACTAACGTTCAGCCACCGTGTACTCATACAGTCGTTTTCCTAGTTCCAGATATTTCCTAGTTCTGGATAGTTTCAAATAAAAACCTACCTCTTCTGGATATGTCTCCAATAATAATTTTTTTCTGACGAAGTGCATTTTGAAAAGGACAATGTAAACTCCTTGATACACCAAGATCTTTCCGATAAAATCTGAAGAAGACTGAGGAATTTTTGCCAGATTTCCGAATCGCACTTCGACATGTTTGGACGGTTTGTAGAAAATCGTGGGAGCTGCGAATCGACGATAAATTTTCTCCTCAGTACATCACTTGTACCGTATCATTTCGAATATTTTGTTCATACACTACAGTCGTATAAACTCTTCCATCGAATGCTTGTTGAGTCAAAATAAGTTGTAAAGTCTCTAATTTTTGATAATTTGCCAACGAATGACTGTATGCTTTTGCTTAGTTCGGGATAGCGCATGCACTTATGACCCAACTACACGGGCGTTAATCTAATTTGTGTGACGTAGATCTGTTCTGGGTCAAAGATTTTCGGTCCGTGCGTGAGTTTTCGGTCCGTGCGTGAGTTCGAGCCGTTGCGCTGCAGACAAAAGTTTCAAAATCATTTACGTTTCTTCTCTTTCTAAAATTTGCTGGAATTCTCTTGAATGAACTATTTTTGGAAAATGAAATAATACTTTATCAGAAAATATGCTTGATTCGGTTGGTTCAGGCTGAAAAAAAAATGATTTTTTTTTTCGCGTGACTTTGTTGTTTTCTTTCGCGCGAAGCAGTTTTTGATCGATTCGGAACTGATTGAACCGGTCCGGAACTAAGAAAAGTGACATCGGTACTTTTGACTTCGTAAAATCAAAATTATTTCGTGGTATCTCCATCACTCAAGGTAAACTTTTAACCAATGTCACTTGAATTCGTGGAGTAGTTGAGCCAAAAGCAGCCTGAATGATGTTTGTTATCCGGAACTAGGAAAAAGACTGTACTACTTATGCTGTGCTTTATAAACAAGTATCAACCCGCCTATTACCCCTGTTCATCAGGCCAATGAAACCAGTTTTCTGAGGCAGCTCAAGATCAGTCCGATCGGGTTTGCCTCCTTTTACCAGATGCCCATCTATACTTCCAGGTGGAGAGAGTCAATTGTAGTCAAGTGTCTTGCCCAAGAACACAAGCACCATGCTCCACAAACCTTCACGCGTGAGTCAGACACTATAACCACCGAGTAATAGCCACCAACTTACCGCTCGCCCAAGAAATGGACCATCCTCCAAGTTGGACGTTCCTGTCGGTGGTGAAGAAGAAGGAGATCTGATCTGTCATGGCCACGATATCGTCGGGGACCCCTCCCGTATTCGTGGTGTAATTCCCCTCATAGGCCATGAAGGACGTGCCAGCAGTTGATGGTCCGATATAGACGTCCAAAACGTCTTTTAAGAGCTCAGTATTGAAAGCATCGAAGGTCAGGGTGATCATGCGAGCATTGGGGATTTTGATGTAGTAGTAGCAGATCCGGTTGTTGGGGTAGGTGGCCGGGTAATTTGGGGATGTGATGGTGCCTGATGACATGCCAAAATGGCTGGTACCACAATTTCCACCTGAAATAAAAAAAAATCACTTTTGAATCAATGTAACCTGAGGTTTGGTTTGTATTTTCTGCATGCAATGCCATGCCATGTGGTAGTTCAGATATAATACTCAGGCACTTAGGTACACCTAAGTTGTCAAGGACATATGTTGTCAAGGACATCAGTTGGCAAATCTAACCTATGACCTTACAACATCACTAAATCACACGGGTGAGTTCAACTAAAATTAAAAGAAAAAAAAAGAAGAAAACGAAAAACACTTCCCACTTTCGATACATCAATCTTGGGAGATGTAATGTTTCAATACTTCAGGTACATGTATATTGTATAGAAATTCTGGGTCCAAACAATCACACATAGAAAAGACAACTGCACTGAAATGCAAGACTCCAGAACACCCCCCCCCCCCTTTTTTTGAAGGGAGGAGGGGGATGGAATGAATTCCTCAGGTTTAGTACAAAACTAATATGAACCTATGCTAAGTATTTTATATTTGAATGTTTACATACTACTGACGCACAATGACTGAATTTATGTAGGAAAGTTGAAGGACTAACCAATTGTGTTATTGTTTACTTGATAGGTTTCAGTACCCAGCGATTTGTTGGGTCTATGTATGCGTACTCTGTACAGTGATGACACAAAAATGGGTCTGCACACTTTTTGCTGCCAGACGTGGGTCCGTGCAGTCTGCGGGGCCAGACATTTATTTTGGATTGGTGTATTAACCTTTTAGTCCGACTGATGAACGGTCCTAGCATCAAGGGCGGATCCAGAGCTCAATTTTCGTAAGGGCCACGAGGACTCGAGTATTTTTTTTTTCAAAAACGGGAAGGGAATAAGTGTATAATATTGTGCGCTTTTTCCATATTGTAATACACAAACTAAACGGTATTTGTAGCTGATGGCTTGCGAGGGAGATACGCAACGTTTTCATTCATTTCCTGCAAATTTAAGACTAAAATGATCTCTTCTCTCCTCGGATAAAAAAAAAAATGACGGAGGGGGGCATGGCCCCGTTGCCGCCCCCGGGTCCGCCAATTCTGGCACGTTGAAAGGAATTAATGAACAAAAAGTTTGATTGCTGTGGCATGAAATTCAAACCAATGAGTAACTTGATTTTTTTTATTATTTGAGTCCAAGTACAAGTGTGCATACATTGTAGACCTAGCCGAGACATCATGACGTCACTCTCTGTTTACACACGTGCGATTTCCTAGAGGAGCTTGGTGGCTCGCCTCCCCACCTGGCTCCCACAGGAAAGCAAACATGTAAAGAAAGCATGACGTCATTATGTCTTTGGGCTATGAATGTCAGAAAATCCTGAATGAGATCGGACATACCAGCAGGGTCATTGCAATCCTGGCCCTCAAATCCAGACGGGCACATGCATATGTAGTTGTTATTGGACAGGTAGCATACACCGCCATTCTGGCATGGACTTGTGGCGCAAGCTGCAGATGAAAAGAACAAAACAAGAAAGAAAATACAAATCATTACTAGAGGTACATTGTGCTCCGAGAGCACGAACCTTAGTCGTCGATATCCGACGAAGGTCTAAGAAAAAAACGCAGTAAAATTGTGCAAATTTTATGAAATCCGCATTCAACATCAAATCACAGCAAGAGTGCTGGTTATTGGCCTCCGTACTTTTTAATCCACGGCGGAGTATCGGGCCGAATACGCGGCTAGCTTTACGCATGTGGCACTGTCGCTATAACAAATCGAAGAACATATGACACCACTTCAGCGGTTGTGTACAGAGTCTACGGAGAGTGCGGCACTGTGCTGCACGTGCAATTGCCTGTCAGCGATATATATTTTTTTACACAACTATCTGGGGTACTTTGTGCGCTTTCCTATGGGGCTTGGTTTTTATAACCAGGCTTGAATGGAGGCTACTATTTTTCAACTTGGTACGGATTTCGGACTTTATTTCCCTTTCTAAAAAAATCCTCCAGAGCCTCGAATCAGAAAAGAAAAAGGAAATTTGCTGCTACAAGTAGTATCCGACTGAAAAATAATGTTTTTAAGATACAACTTTAAATTGTTGAAAAAAAGAGCAAAATCTGAACAGGCGGAGCAGGGAATCGAACTCGAGACCTCCGATCATTAGCCAGCATGCCTAACCACCTAGGCAACGGCGGTGCTCGACAAAACCTTGCAATTCATAAATTATATACTTTCACACACGTATGTTAAGTATACGCGCGCGCGCGTAGGTAAAAGGTTATAGGATTGTAGAGCGCCGCTACGCGGCACTCTACAATCCTATAACCTTGATTCAAGTCGCCTGAAAAATGGGTACCCTGTACTATTGTGTAAATAAAATATTCGCTGCCTGTCAACCTGTTCAGTCGCGCGCGCACGGATGGCATCGTTTTTGAATGCCACACAACATTCACAGTATCGTGCGTGGTGGTTTGAAACCTTCCCAGAATTCCTATGTTTTTATTTAGTTTTTTCGTACGTTTCAAAAATGATAAACTTGGAATAACTCGACAACCAAATAAGTCAGGAATATGAAATTTGAGAATTAGAGATAGAAAAGTACACTTAACAGGACTGCAAAGATTTAAAGTGTAAAACAACATTTTAACTTTTTTCATAAAATGACCCTTACTGACCCTTAGGTGACCAAAGGCTAAATTCTGTGTACACCCTATATGAGGCATGGTCCATTAATTCGGTCAAAACTCTGGGAGAAGAATCATTTTGTAGATTCTCATAAAAAGACCACTAGTGACCATCAGATGACAATTGGCCAGATTTTATGAACGTGGCTAGGAAGGGCACGTGTCCAGGTTTCATTTGACCAAGTTTGTTTGAAATCGGCTGATTAGTTTATGAGTTATTGCCATTTTAAAAATATGATAAATTGGATCATGTGACCGCATTTGGTCACCTGCCAGTGATAATTGGAAAGAAGAAGAAGAAGAAGAAGAAAGAAACGACTGAAATACAGTACCTTAGTTGTCGGACGAGTAAGGTAAAAAGAAGAAAAAACTGAAATACAGTACCTTAGTCGTCGGACGATTAAGGTAAGAAGAAGAAGAAGAAGAAGAAAGAAACGACTGAAATACAGTAACTTAGTCGTTGGACGACTAATGTAAGAAGAAAGAAACGATTGAAATACAGTACCTTAGTCGTCGGACGACTAAGGTGAAGAAAGAAAGAAAGAAAGAAAGAAAGAAAGAAAGAAATCGGACGATCACAGCGGCTGATATAATCATTGGTTTGGAAATTCAATCTGAATCACAATGTAGATTTTTAGTATTATGGCATTGAGCTACAGACGGTACCCGGCCATTTTAAGATGTCCCTGAACTTTTTTGTATTATTTTTTTTTCTTTTTTTTAAAGAAATCCTGGGCATGGCTTTATGGGACTACAATAGGAAAGGGTGCGCCAATTGCCACCTCAGGCTGCAACACTTCGAGAATAAGAAGAAAATGGGTAAAAAGAGGGCAAATCTGACAACAAACGAGTAATTTATTATCCATACTCTCCTCGCGTTGTATGGCTTTGGTTGATATCGTTTCATTTAAATTCCAATTTTTGTCTCAATCTTTTGCTATCTTGTTTTCTCAATCTTTTACACGTAACAACGTGTAACAGGCTGTCAAAAAGTATTATCAAAGACTAAACAACTTTCATATTAAGCCCATATAATCATCAAAAGGCAAGTTCTTGAAAGCTTAAAGTACGTACCAAACTTCAATCTAGTTTTCTAATTTCTAAGCAAAAAAAAAAAAAAATCAATAAAAAAAAAAAATATATATACATGTATATATATAAATTTCCACTACGTTTTACGCCTTTATATTCTACCAGCTACACTAGACCAAATTACCAATCAAACTATGATGTTCACCTTGCCGGTCCAGAGTTCATACGAAAGAAGAAGTAAAGACTTTCTTACTTCTCAATTTATTTAATTAAATTGAGATTTAAACGCGGTTTACGTTTTCATGAAAATAAATCCCCCATAAAACTTTTGTTTTTGTTGATTCGCTCAGCCAAAAGGCGAAAGTGAGATGCATCTACCAAAGGTTATGTTCTATTAAGTCCAAAACTATTAGTATAGGCTGTTATGTACTTTTGCATTTTTTTTTTGCTAAAGAAAGAATTTTTGTCATATTTGGATAAAGTTTACCTTCCTTAGCCAGAAATCCATTGGTAACATTTTGTTTCCATCTACCATGTGGCGGCCATATTGGATTTCAAAATGGCCGCCATTTCAAACATAATGTGTATCATAACTTCGGACCTGATTGTCATATAAAGTCCATTTTGGTGGCAAACCCCATGTTTTTGATACAAAGAAACCAAAGTAAATCAATGTTGATGAGGTACTCAAAATGGATGGCAGCTATCTTGGATATTTCAAAATGGCCGCCATTTAGTACCTAATTTGTATCATAACTTCGGACCTGATTGTCATATGAAGTCCATTTTGGTGGCAAACCCAATGTTTTTGATACCAAGGAATCCAAGCAAATCATTGTTGACGGGGCACTCCCAATGGATGGCAGCCATCTTGGGTATTTCAAAATAGCCGCCATCTAGGGTTTCATTCAAATAATAACGTTGCACCTGAATGTGGAACGAAGTCCATTTTGGTCGGTGGCAAACGTCATAGTTTTGATACCTAGGAACTCATTAGTAAATCATTGTTGACGGAGTACTCACAATGGATGGCAGCCATCTTCGATATTGTGGTGGCACACCCCATAAATTTGATACCAAGGAATCTACACATTGTACCCCGATGGAAGGCAGGTTTCTCTGGGAAGAATGTTTCAAACCACATGGAACAATACTTGGAGTGTTATTACCTCATTACGATCAACAGCGCGATAATAATGACTGCTGGATATGATTGGGCTGACTCTAACCTGACTGCACAGATCAGAAGCAACCCATGCAGACTTGGTCTAAACCACTGTGTTCAACCGTTTTTCCCAGGCACCTGATATCACTGAAATTGGTGTGAATCAGAGTTGTAAAGAGCCACTAATTTTTGTGACTCGTCCAGTCGAGTCGAGTCAAGTCATTTTAAAGAAGTGAGTTGAGTCCAGTCGAGTCGTCAGTTTAAGAAATTTGAGTCGAGTCGGGTTGAGTCAAATCATGGGCGTCGCCAGGTTTTTTTTCTAGAGGGGGGCAAAACATATTTGTCCCATATATGCATACCTTATTATGCCAAATAGTAGTTTTCAATGATGAAAACGATAAAATAAATGTAGAGCTAGTTTGACAATTTAGTCAAGAGGTATACAAACTCAATAACTTTTTGGACTGGAGCCAATGGCTGGAGAATAGCCAACTATTCCGTAATTTGCTGAGATTTATGATGATACAAAGCTATCGATGTGGAAAGATTGTAATAGTGCAGTGCATTCTCTTCAGTTTTAAGAACAGTACACACAATTATGAATGAATATCAAAAATAAACTCTTATAAAAGAACAAACAGTTTAAAGAGCGACACAATGTACACGACACAATGTACACCTTCCACACTGTAATATGACCAAGCCATTACACTGGACCAAGATTAGAATACTGGAAACTGATTGTACACCTTCATGCCTTATGAGTAAAGTGTGATGGGAATACATACATTTGTACTTACACATATGCATACATAATGGCAACTATCATTTATAGCAAACTGTCGCTTAATTAAGAAATAAACCATAACTAATTAATAAAAGAATGGAAGAACATTATTTATGTTTTTGATTTTTCACATTCCAACAAAATAATGAAAATATAACAAAGCTTATAGTTTCTATAACATTAACATAACTGAAATCAAATTTTCTAAAAGTACTGAGTCATCTTTTTTGGAAATTGCGTAGTCTCCATTATTTTGTTGGGCAAAGGTTTTTTGATGGATTTTTTTCTGATATGGTTGGTCTTATAGTTGCCTGACATCCTTTTATGCTATTCAGAACTTTAAATTTCAGACTTTTGGGAAAATTTACGACAACTATATACAGTATTGTACACCTTGTGACATTTGACCTTGGCCTGACCTTGACATAGGCCCCCAAAACCGGGCACCCCCCTCTAGAATGTCTTCTAGGGGCCTATACAGTAAGTGTACCAAATTTGGTGCTTTAATCCGGCGTGTCACGATCTATGCCCAAAATTAGCTCTAAGCCACCGGACTAAGTCGACATAGATATCCTTGAACCACTGCCCCTGCTTTGCATAACAATTGCACATGAATGAACGATTCGACTTTTATTCAAAGAAATTTCTATGTACAGTCACCAGACTCTATTCAGTAAAGTCCCCGTCAAAACGAAAGTAAACAATCCACGTAATTAAACCATTGCATTGACGTCACACTATTGTTAAGAGTGTGGATTCGGATCTACGAATCTCTTACACTGGTCACAAAGTGTGGATTCGGAACAACGAATCGTTAGTAAATTGTGGATTCGG